CTCCTTCTTCATCTCCTCCTCCTCTATCTCCATCTCCTTCACTTCCTCTTCTTCTTCTTTCTCCTCTTCCTCCTCCTCCTGCTCCTGCTCCTCCTGCTCCTCCTCCTCCTCCTCCACTTTCTTCACCTCCTTCTTCACCTCCTCCTCCTCTATCTCCATCTCCTTCACTTCCTCTTCTTCTTCTCTTTCTCCTCTTCTTCCTCCTCCACCTTCTCCTCCTCCTCCTCCTCCATCTCCATCTCCTTCTTCTTCTCTCTCCCTCTCCTTCTCTCCTTCTCCCTCTCCCCTCCTCCTCCTCCTTCCTCCTAACAGGTGACGGCTCCTTTTCTTCACGTGATTGCCATATTCACCATGGTGCTCTTGGCTTGGCCGGTGGCCCTGCATTTCTTCCGGGTACGTGATAAAGGTAGTGTATCTCCAGTGAATAACCATTCAGGCCCCACATAAGCGTCTTGAATGGATCTTCTGTCTCGGTCCTTCAAGCGGATCCCTTAAAATGGGGCACTAGTTCATGCTCTCTTGGTGCTGGTTAATACCAGAAGGCCAAGTTTCCAAGAGCAGAGATTTACCACTAAGGGATAGTTTCTCCTTGAGGTTGTAGCAGGAAATCTTGCTTCCAAATCAGGACACAAGACCACGAAAGGTTGGAGAATACAGGTTTTATTTGCGCACAAGGTTCAGAGCATTAGCATGGCAAATTCTGAACCCCTGGCTCTTCCTGTGTCGTCACTTTTATACATGTCATGACCTCAGCTTAGCCCGGGGCGTTCCTTTTATTAAGTTTTACCAAAAAAGGAGAATAACATATATATATATATATATATAGGAAAGGAGAAGTACATTTGATTATTCAGTTATCTTACACCATCTGTCATTTTCCATCTACACCCTTGTTTACTGTAATATGGTTAGTTCCTTGGTTCAGTGACCTTGAGGTTTTACACAATATTCTTTTAAGCAAAGCTTTAGGGAATTGGGGACTTTTGCTAAATATAAAAATGCTTTATGTGTAACTTTTCAACTGCTTCAAGGTGACTCTGTGCTACCCAGTCAGAGGTGGGATTCAGCAGGTTCTGACCAGTTCTGGAGAACCGGTAGCAGAAATTTTGAGTAGTTTGGAGAACCGGCAAATATCACTTCTGACTGGAGATTTTACAGTATCCTTCCCCTGCCACACCCACCAAGCCATGCCCATAGAACCAGTAGTAAAAAAATTTGAATCCCACCACTGTACCCAGCCCCCTATTTTCATCAGTGATTTATTCATGGCAGAAATGAAACCTCCCTTTTTTTTTTGTAATTTTTATTGGTTTTTAAAGACAAACATAAACAAACAAAACATAAAAACATCAAACTTTCTTCCATAAGTATACAAGCAGTGTGCCGGTTGGTTTACAAATGTTTGTGTGCATCCATTTCGTAGTCTTCAATTACAGTTACATTGCATAATAGCTCATATTATCAATCAAAAATTGAATACCCTAGTATCATTATTAATCAATCATCTGACAATAATTTTATTCATTCATATTTTGCAAGATAACCATAATTTACTTAGTTTATTTTATAACAATTCATATAATCCTCCCAAATCTATCCTCAAAAACATTTTGTAGATATAATAAAAAGAAAGAAAAAATACATCTTTATATATTTATTATTTTCTAAAATTCTACATATTTCATTATTGTATTTTATTATCTAACCATTGATAGAAAAGGTCCCAAATTTTATAAAATTGTTTATCCTCTTGTTCTCTAATTTCAAATGTCAATCTACTTATTTCAGCACATTCCAATATTTTCTTAATGATTTCCTCCTGTGATGGTATTATGAAACCTCCCTTGATGAAAGGCTAAAACATACCAAAAAAAATGGCTGCAGGAATTGGGTAGGTCTAGTTGGATGAAAAGAAGGACCAGGGGAGACGTGATAGCACTCTTCCAATATTGGAGGGGCTGCCCCAAAGAAGAGGCAGTCAAGCTATTCTTCAAAGCACCACAAGGCAGGACATGAAGCAACAGATGGAAACTCATCCAGGAGAGAAGCAACCTGGAACTAAGAGATCCAACTTAGAATTAAGGAGAAATTTCCTAACAGTGAGAACAATTAATCAGTGGAATGCCTGGCCTCCAGAAGTTGTGGATCGTCCATTACTGGAGGCTTTTAAAGAAGAGATGGGACAGCCATTTGTCTGACATAGTGTAGGGTTTCCTGCCGAAGCAGGGGGTTGGACTAGAAGACCTCCAAGGTCCCTTCCAACTCTATTATTCTATTCTATTCTATTCTATTCTATTCTATTCTATTCTATTCTA